CCCCTTCGGGGATAAAAGCCGTAGTGTTATGTTATGTTATTATAAAAATGTGAAATGTTTACCATCAAATCGTACCTTAATTTTTTTTTTCTTTTAATACTTTGCCGTTGTTGTTTACATTAGGATTTTCTCCTGTGTCGTGGGTGCGTTTACAAAGATACAAGTTCGCATACACATGACACCCAGACCCGGAACAACAATCCGTGGATCACACAAAGAATTGTTCCGTGCGGGAATCGAATCCGTGACATGTTGCACAGCAGCCAGTTGCCCAGCCGACATTGCGATGTGTGAAATATTAACATGGATTACGATAATTTATCATCATCTTCCTCATATCAACCTTCAGAGCCTTCCAGATCGTCCAGTTGGAAGCAACCTGCAACCATCGACTCATTGGCTTGTTATAGATCTCCTGTCTAACTTGTAATCCTACACTGCGTCTACATCACAAGTTATGGATTCAAAAAATCATATAATAAATAAAACACAAATAATATTTTCACTCATGATTAATTCACAGTCAAATATACATGTGCCTACTTGCTTGTTTGTTCTGCCTACCTTTTTAGTATTACACAAGGTGAGATATTCAATAGATAATTATATTTACGCGTACCGTAACAGGGAAACGATCAAATTCTAAGGTGTCAGTAATGATTGTGTCACGAGCTATATCATTATCGTGTCTGATTTGAGCTTGATGTGTATCGTCAGAGATGCGAGATCTTGAGAATAGCTTCTACCTAAGAAAAACTTAAAAAAGTTTTTTTTTTTCGAAACGACTAGGCTTTGTCATACTTCCTGAAGCCTTACCAAACAACGAACATTTTCCTCAATTGTCAGAGGAAGCAATTAAACCAATAATACTTAATACATGCTTTGAAGAGTTCAAAATCGTCAGCCATAAACCCTATATTTTTCACCTCTAATACAGTTAATAAAGTCGGTACCTACCTAATAAACGTAATAAAAAAGATTAATTATCAATATCAGCAAACAAAACCTTTAAAAAATAATAACAAAACAATCAATTTTCTCCCTATCTTCAAAATATTTGATACACGTGGCAAAACTCGCGTCGTCTGCGAACGTGCCAAAGAGTTCCAATAATCACTCCAGTTATTAAAAACTATTTGACACGAATCTTAATGAGTGAAAATAGCTAAATGATGATGATTTTGGATAATTATGCGACTTCTGTCACGTCTAACAAAATTAATAATGACACAGAAGATCATTGAATCTTTAATGATTTCAGTAATTTGCGCGTCTACGTGATCAATGGAGCGTATAGTAAACCAAATACTAATTAGTTTAATAGTTTGCTGTTATGAATGAGTTCATAATATTAGAATGATAAGGAAAATGAAGCTATAATTAGGCTTTCTGGAAAACTCACAAAACAAAGTTTGGTACTGGTTCTGAGAAACAAAATTGTAGCCTAGTTCAGAAAGACTTCAATTATTTTTATTGCGTATGCCATTTTTTTTGGAATAGAGGCATATGAGCAGACGGGTCACCTAATGGTAAACTGCATACTCTAGTAGAGTCTCAGGTGCGTTGCCTACCTTCACGAAGGAATAAGCTCTTTTCTTGAAGGTCATCTCGGATATCAAAAGAAGATATTTGTGCAACTGACTGCCTCGTTGGTGCGACACTTGGGCAAGGAGTCGTAGGTTAAATGCCTGGGTCGGGAAAGTATTAGTTGGTTTTTTTTTAATCACTCATGACATAAATAGTTAAAAGTGGGTGTTACATTATACTTACAGTGGTGCTGAAATGTGCACCTCTGCCTACGCAGAGGCAGCCCTTCAGGGGTTTAAGACGTGATGTCATGTGTTATATTTGTGCTAAAATTCCAAAATATTTGCAAATTTCTAACTGAATGTGTATCGTTAGGGAATTAATAATAGTTATCTGTTCGTTTAATTGATCCAGAGTCATCTGAGACTCATCTGCGAAAAATCATGTTTCCTTCTATCTAAATTATCGTTTAGCTTATCTTTCAATGCTCAGTTTCCTTTCATCTAATACTCTTCCGTATTGTGAGGTCGATCATATTTTCAATCACACACTACTATAATTGTTTTATGATTGACGAGTGCCGCGAAATCATCGCTTATTGACTTCTGATCGTCTCAAATTATATTCCGACCAGTTAAATGAGGATGATTCATGTTTCTCTGAATTTGTATCTTGAACTTTCGTCTTGTTGGCCTCAACTAATACCTTTCTTCATTACTTTTCAAAATTGCATTTATCTATGTTACGACTGGAATCTAGAATTTTTTACCGGTGCTTTCTTAATGTATTTCGATGAAATAGTAAATTATTTTATATTCTAAACTTGCCGTCGTAGTTTTTATGATACATCTCTTTGTTTACATCAATATTAAACCTCTTATTTATGATTCCAGAAATCAATTTCAATATTTAGGTCTATTTATAACCTACAACTGACCAGAAAATTTTACATTTTCCACGTCGCTCCAAGATGTTTTTTGCGCAAAAATCTAAGATTAACACTCAGACATGTTATCGATCGTTGTTTAGTACAAATATTATCATATTAATATCAGATAGTTTATGCTCATAATGATAGATAGAAACAGATAGATCTAATCTTTTAATTTGCGGCACTTAAAAGGCAATATGAATATAATATCTCTAATTCATTTGATAAATCTGATCACTAAATCCTGGCGACTAAACAAAATAATTTGTAATTGATTGCTTATGACGTCACAAGATTAACATCAGTTCAATGGGAAATCACACAATTTTGAATGGCAGAATCGATAATAGAATAGGAGATATCGATGATATTCAAGATTTTATTTATTTTGTGGATAATTTGCAACACAAATATACACTATACTATAGGTAGTATCTTATCAAGTTTGTTTCTTAAGTAATCGTGTATTGTGAAGTTCATTTGCATAGCTGGTATGGAGTTATGTGATCACAAATGACTCGAATAGAACATAGAACAGTTTATCCCTCTCTGCGCTGTGATTTATTTTATTTAGATGTTTTTGGCGACCCTAATCTTCCTCTTCCACTACTTAGTTATACATAACTAAAGTACGCATTTGTATCTTTTTCAATACAAAAATGTCATCGTCAAGAACAATACCATGTTCTTTCAGCTTTTTTTATGAAGTTTGATCATTTCTACTGTTTAATCTGTCTAATTAGACTGCCTCGCTGGCCGAGTGGTCGCAAGTACGACTGCCGGGCAGGTGTCTCGGTTTCGCTTCCCGGGTCGGGCAAAGTATTACTGAGTTTTTAAAAAATTCTCAGTAGTAACACGGAGTCTGGAATTGTGTCCGGTATATGGCATTAGGCTCACCCCCTATTACATGGGGCTCATAACATAAATGGTGAAAAGTAGGTGTTACATTGTATAGTGGTATAATATGCACATCTGCCTACCCCTTCGGGGATAAAAGGCGTGATGTTATGTTATGTATTCTGTCTAATCCTGCTTGAAGGGTCAAGCAATTATGTGCCTTCATCATCATTGATTTTAAGACCAAATCATTAGGTTCACACATCAGTTTAACATCCTTAAACATATCAGTGTGTGTCTATGTTATTATGACCGTTGACAGTGATTGATGTCGACTATAGTTAAATAATAGTTTTTTTTACATTTGTCATAACGTCTGTGATTCTAGGAAGTAAAGTCGAAATGTCAAGGGCGCTGATAATATAATTTTTGTGATGATATCGATATACACTCTTATAATAAACATATCACGCTTTTTAAATCACGAGGGAGGTAGAGGTAGGTACACCATATTTAATGTAACACCCACATTCATTAATTGTGATATTAGTTTCATGAAGTAAATAAATGGTGAGCCTATTGCCAAAATAGTCACAAATTCACAATTCCACAATCACATCACGCCTTTTATCCCCGAAGGGGTAGCTAGAGGTGCACATCATGCCACTGTACAATGTAACACCTACTTTTTCACTATTTATGTTACGTGTCTCATGTAATAGGGGGTGAGCCTATTGCCATATACCGGGCACAATTCCAGACTCCGTGTTTCTACTGAGATTTTTTTACAAAGTTCGTATTACTTTGCCCGATCCGAGAATCGAACTCGAGACCCCTTGCCCGGTAGTCGCACTTGCTACCACTCGGGCAACGAGGCAGTCTGTCAATCTGTACCACTACTGATAATTTAGGGAAAACCAAACAATACCCGATAACTTATCACGCGTCTTGAGTTTCGAACAAGACAACCCTTGCTCGTCAGTCGCCCTCGACTCGACCAAGGATGCAGTAAAAGTTTGACATAGATAAAAATGAATCATTGTCAAAATTCGTTATCTCATTTTATTTCAGAAGTAAATATTAAGTAATATCTTATGGTCGATTACGATTGCTGATACCATTTCCAATTAAATTAATTGCAGGCTGTTGACACGACGACGACATATCAATCGGAAATATTTTAATAACACCTTGCGAATATTAAATATAGCACTCATTTTTCATTTGCTTGATTAAAACTGCGCAATTATCTTAGTATAAAAACTGAGATTATTGGAAATCGCAAGTCTTATTACTATTTAATCGTCCGACGTCCCAAGACCGCTTGCTTTACAGTCGAACGCACCATGGATAATGCTAAAATGAGGCCGGTACTTAATTTTTACTAAAAATCCTTTATCCCAGATTTATAATTAAACCTTTTTAAATCCAACCTCACCTCATAAAGGTTGTCAAGTACTCATTAAAAACTAAAGATACATCGTACAAATGGAACGCGGAGTTCTTTTTTCGAAAGGCAACGTTCTCCGTTCCCGCCCTCGAACGCGATTGGCCGATAGCCGAGTACGTGTTGATGCGTTTGCGCAGATAAACCGACTGTTTTGTAACATAACGAGCTTTGCGTGTGTTACAAGGAAAGTCAAAGTTTATAACTCATTTTTATGGTTTGGGATTAGATTAAAACCAAGAATTAATATTAATATGATAATAATTTAATAATTATATCTAAGTTTATTTACAGGATTTACTTATTTAAAAGACCTAATTGGATTATTGTACATTACTATTACTTATCTCTATTCACTAATCGGAGATATATTCTTTCATTTGGAGTCAGTAGGAGTCGCGTGGGAGTGTACGTGAGTGATTCTGGAGTGTCCTTGGTACATTCTACTCTGTATTTCAATAACAACTTCACCATACAAATACTAAACTGGAGTAGAGCGAACTTTGAACCTGAAAGAAAAATAAGAAAATTAATAAAGGCATATAAACACAAACATCATGTTTTAAGTTGTCACTGTTTATTGCGATCTGTTTCCATTTAAACTGTATTTTGAAGATAACTGAAATAGGTGACAGCATTAATTTTGATAAAGAGGTAGATAAAGCAATTACGGTATTGGGTATACAATAAATAAGAACGCGGACAAAACCGCGAATAAAAAAAGATAATAATTGCATTGTAAAAAAAAAAAGATTAAAAGACGGATTTGCCAGATTACAAAAAACTAGATTAACTACGAGATAATTATACTACTGATTTATATAATTATTGTACTTACCAAGACAACTCCTTGGCCCAAGTCCAAAGGATAACATAGCACAGGGATGTTGTTCCCTCATATTTTCAGTAGAAAACCTCTCAGGTTTAAACTTCTCTGGTTCAGGGAAATATTTCTCATCGTGATGGAATGAGTATGGAGATATTGCTAGGATAGTATTTTTTGGAATGATGATATCTGTGCCTTCTAACTGCACATCTCTTGCAGCATTCCTGACAACAGCGTTTGTCATAGGACGCAAGCGTAAAGTCTCTTCAAAAACCATCTCTAGGTATTTCATTTCTTTTAACGATTCGTAAGAAAATTTACCATCGTGCTTCATCATAACTTCATCAATTTCTTGTATTAGTATATCTTGTTTTTCAGGGTTTTTGGCCAAGTAATATAATGCATAAGATAATAGTAATGAATTATTACCATAACCAGCAAAGTAGAAGATAAATGCTTGACCAGCTAACATCTCATCTGTGATTTCCAAGCAATGTTCCTTTTCGCCATTTTCTTTCCTAGAGGCATTAATACTTCCTTGTCTTTTTAATTCCATCATAATATCAATAGCTCTATTTCTTTCGGTTTTCTCCGTGACTCCTAATGTCGCACCAGCTTCAATTATTTGTTTAAAATACCGAGATATTCTATCAGGAAATATTGATAAATCAAATCTTGTAAGACTGCCAGGGAAAAGTAGCTCTAGCTCAAGAAGATATCTAGGATACTGAATTCCTTCATCCAACACATCACATATTAAGTTGTTTTCATCATAAGGCTTCAAATCGATACCGAAAGCAGCCATCATGATAGAGTCAGCACCATATTTTCTAAAAACCGGCAGTATATTTACTTCTCCATTTTCGTCGCTAACTCTTCCCATGTATTCAAGAAACTGCTCCGCTCGATTAGCAAGCATATTGAAATTAGCCTTGAACTTGTTTGGTGTGAATGCAGCAGTCATATGTTTTCTTAGTCCTTTCATCACTTCGACGTCAGCGTGGAAGAGATTGTTTCCCAACTTTTGCTTGCTGTAGTACACTCCACGATCAGGAAAAGATTCAAAATCCTTTTGCAGCACTTGTTTCACTATATCAAGATCACGAATCAACAAAGTTGGTGACATCATTCTGTATAAACCCACTACTTTCTCATCTGGATATTGTTTGTAAATATCATGGTATAGAACGCCAATATGTTTCCTTCTGAAGAATACATCAATGTAGTTACCAAAAAATGGTATTGGGCATGGTCCTTTCACATTTCTCTTTTTCCAAAAGTCAAAAGTTCGAGTGAAATAAAGATACAGAGCGCAAACGAAAGTTATTAAAGTTGGCAGATAAATAAACATTTTTGTAGATGTCACCGTAGTGGCTAATTTAGTGTTAATGATAGGCGTGTTCGACGTAATTCTGTTTATATATGACCGAAGAGCCTACGATACGACGTTGCACTGATAATGGGAACAATTAGTGGTAGTAGATATTTTGATGATTGGATTAGCCATTGTACACGTAGTCGGATGAGTGCAAAGATACGTGTGCAATATGCATCGAAGTATTTTGGAAAAAAGACGTATTGTCTACAGTTTATTATTCTCAGGTCAAAAATAGTTCGCAACCAAAAATTAATGCTTGGTTTAAGACTACATTATTCGAAATTATGCACCTTTATGTAAAAAATTTCGTGGTCAGTATTTTCTTTTCAGATCTTGATTATGATTATGGACTAAATTGTTTTTCAGCTTTAAACTTAAATACTCATTTACTGTTGTTTTCAAAATTTCTCTATTGATAGTTTATTTTCAAAATACAGAAGTCTAAACAACAAACACAGCTGATAAGAATCTATATTATCGATCACTATCAGTCTATTTAAAATTGATGCTATCACAGTTGGACTTTCCAGAAATGTATATATGTCATCAGATATGTGTGGCGTCGCAAATTTTAAATGAGAAATTAACACAAGCACTAATTGTCACTTCACTAAAACGTCTACCACCAACGAATTTAAAAGTACTAATATTTGCAAAATGAGAATTATTAAAGTATATTTTATCTGATATCAGGCCTAAAATTTGTTCTGCTTCATTGAATATTACACGTGTCATTATCTTCGCACGTGTTATCGATTTGACTGTGATTTGGGTTTACATTTGGTTTTTCACTTGTGAAGGAGTCATGACCATTTTGTTCCTGAGACAGATCTTCACAAACCTCATTATAATCGTCATCAACATCAGTCTCTGTCTGTCTTTCTGCTCTCCTCACTTCTGCTGCTGGCCTCTTTACGAGATAAGAAACGAGTCCAGGTTTCCTCGAGATATTTTCTTTCGCCAAAAGAGAGGGATTAATGACAGAAACTTATTGTTTGTGACGTAATCATGTACATCATAGTCATATCAAAATGATTTCCGTTGTTAATTAGTAGGTATTTATCACCGAAATATTATTTTTGAAAAATGTTTCTACGTTTTTTGTTGCAGGATTTCGTCACCGTCGTCTACTATGCTTATCCATCATAATATTTAAGTATTAAAAGATAAAAGATTACTATCGTTTATGTACAATCATTATACGAAATTTGATGAATTGGTCTTTACAAATAGTATGAAATCATAAAATTTGGTGTCTATTCAACGTTTTCTTAAGAATTGCAATTTCAAGACGATGGTATCAATAAATTTACATTAACTTTACTATTTATAAACACTTATTAATGTTTATTTCAGCTGTATATATTCACGTACCTCACACTTCAGTGTATTTGTATTACCTAAGTATTTCCCCAGAATACCCATTCGATCATAACCAAGTTTAATTGTAAAGTTTGTGAGTGAATTTTTTATTTAACATAATAGCCTATAAGTGGCCAGTGCTGAGCAAAGCCTCTTCTCACACGGAGAAGGTTTGAGTATCATAGTATTTATCACCGCGCTTGCTCATTGCGGGTTGATGATTTCAAAGTTAATTTTTAATTATAGGTCCAAGTTTTCCTACGATATTTTCCTTCACCGTTTGTCAGTGGCGTCTAAATAATCTTAGAGGTAGAAAGTACATTTAACTCGGAAGATCACATTGGTACTTGCCGTTAGTAGGTTTCGAACATTCATGCATGAAAAGCTTAACCTTCGGACTCCCTCGTGGTAGTGTGTCATCATTATGTAGTTTTTTACTCAATCAACTTGAAACTACTGAAGGGATCGGGATGAAATGAAAACAGGGTTAGATTATCGTCAGACTGGTATTTTTTAAAGGAACAAGCCCGCCACAAGCTCCCAAAACCGCTACAACTCCTGTAAGCCAGGATCTACAGTAGATACAAACATGAAAACACCGGAACACTGAAGTCCGGCGCGTCCCAGGGACATGAGTAACTGTCTTGGTTCCCGCAAAGAAGTGAATCAGAAGGTATTATAAGAGGAGAAGAAAAAAAATGATAGTTTCCACTTCTGACTGAAGTCTGACTGGTATGTGATTATAACACATTTTACCCTGGAATCGCTGGCAGAAGTTAGTACAAAATAAATACATAATATAAATGGTCCTCGCTAGTAACTACCCAACTATAACTATTTACAACAACCGTGACGAATCAGAAAATCGAATCACAACTATAAACTTCATATCTACATTCGAAATATTACCATCAAAACGAATTGCCGAAAAAATCTCTGTATCAAACTGGGTTCAACAAAGATACCGGTATAATTATGAGGAGGCTAACCGTCAGAAGACGTTCTGTATATCTAATTAGAGCTATGATTTATGATGGGGCAAGTTGTGGCAATTATTGTGGGGCGATTAAGAAATGGCCGTTAGGAATCAACTGTGATGTTACTACTTCTGAATTTGTTTTTGACGGACTATTTTTGAGACAACTTACAGCGATTATGTTGCACTTAAGTCCAAAGTCTATACAAGTCTGTCATACTTACCCTGTTATATGTACTTACGTGCATCCCTAATATAGTAAGTGATGGCCCCTTTTGACATTATATATATATATATATTTAAATGAATCCCTTTTTCCCTTTGTCACGGCATCACGCGTGAATGTCTTGACCAATTGCATTAATTCTTTTTGTTATTTTTTATGGAATAGGAGGCAAACGAGCAGACGGATCACCTGATGGTGAGCGATCAGCGCCGCCCATGGACACCCACAACACCAGAGGAGTCACAGGTGCGTTGCCGGCCTTTTAAAAAGGAGTACACTCTTTCCTTGAAGGTTTGAAGGCTCTTCGAAGCAGTTGGTATAAAAATCATAATGCTTAGGTGATATAATAGAAATATAATGATTTAATTATCATCATCGGCCTGGAGGCCATTATAAATATGTCCTTTTTATTTCCATTTGCTCTTTGGCGTTAGAAGTCAGGTTCATTAAAGCTTGTGAGTGAAAAAACTAGGACTTCTGAAATGAGACTAAAAACATCTTATTACGATACTAAAACATGGCCACAATGTACAACAATTGATGGTTTATTATTCAACATGCAATTTTGAATACCATATGGCACGGAACGGCGACTTCGAACGAATCATTATGGGCTAAGCAGAACGCTCTATTGTTATAGTAAAAAACTGAATTGTGGGTCAAAAATGGTCAGTTTTTCAACTCACTAGGACTTTTTTTATGGTGGCTATAAAAAACGAATACAAACACCCAAGTGTCTCAAAAGAACTTCAGTTTTATTTTTAAACTCTAAGAAGAGGGGTCGTAAGCGCAACTACCTAGTCGAAGTCGAGGGTAACAATTTCAGGTCAAAATAAATTATAATTGTGAATTATTAATTTCAAAAATTCTTAGTAATAACAAGGCTTTATGTTTATAAGAAGAGTTTTAAGATTTTCGACACAGAACCCCAAAATCAAAACTCCAACCAACATTAAGCTGCAATTTGGTTACTAAAGAACAAAACATGTGCAATCCTTTTATCGGATGATAATGTATTACGAAAACTGTTGTTATTTAGAAATCTTGTATTCACTACAATGCTCTTAGCCCGCGGTGAGCTATTGTTACGCTTTATCGATGTGCGCATAACATTTAAACTTGAGCTGCTGTTACACCGACGGAAATATTGCGTGTTAAAATAAAGCCATTTGCACCGACCGCACCAGAAGGAATGATATTGTTTTTTAACTAAATATTCAGTCGTTAGATACCTAATGATTCGTAAATTAAGCATTATATTCCTGCATGCAAAAATTTTAATCAACATCCAAAAGGAGGAAAGAAATGTAAATGCGACCTTATTTTTATTATCCACAAGCAGTAGTATTTCAAACAAACATTAATTACAAATAAAATGATACATAAAAAATTATATCGTAAACCGATATCAAATATCACAAACATAAATCTCTTATCATTTAACCACAAATTACATGACAGTGTAACAAATGAGCGTATTAAACGTTCCCACAACGCAGCGACAGGGGACGTCCGTTCGCGCCCGTGGCCGCGGGGCGAATGGCACTTTTTGCTTTTTTTACATGCGGGTAGTCGAACAAGCGGGGCAAGAATGTGACCGTGCGTAGTGCGATATGAAACGCCGCTGGGCGTAAAGACACTCGTTTTTTGTGTATGAAGCGAATAAATTGCTGTTCTTTAATCTCCTCGTGAGATGGTCAATGACTATAGCCCTTGGACATATTCGATGTACTTGCAAAGTGCAATACCAAGGCTTTGGACCCTTACGTTTATAATCATAATAAAGCTATATATTTTGTCCCTACCTCGGTGCTATTATTTGTTATCTAGAATCAGTAATGTCTGTGTTCGTGTTTGCTGAAAATTGTGTTTATGTGTAACTTGGTATTTAGGCCTATCGATCGATAAGTTGTGAGTCATATTCGTAATTCGAAAAAATTGTTATGACTTTAAGTGGTTGTAATTTGCTAACAGAAGTCTTTTCAAAATATTAGGTACCTACTTAATACTTTCCTTTTGTTTTCTAAATTAAGTTCACAATGACTTTGACAGGGTACTTTCAATACAAAAATTCAACACACAGGTCGTTACGATCACGAACAAACTCCTCTACAATTTGCATACTGAACGTACCTTCCCTTTCAATTTCAATGGCAGTGCGCCCTTCCCAGTGATTATACGTAAAATCAGTGCCAATTACGTAAGTGCGGCGTCGGCGCAAGACAGGTAATGATCGCGCGTTCCCACGGTCCGGCGAAAGGGGGATGTGTCATAGTCTTTAGGAGATAATTGCGAGCTATTTATAGGCTGAGCTGCTGTGCTTTCGAAAGAAATGGGCTTGAAAGGTCTTGAAGATTAGAAACGGTGTAACGATTTAGACTTTATGATTTACTTTGCAAAATCTTAATTGCAGATCGTAAAATCTTTACGCAGGTACCAAAAAAAACTACGAAAGGTACACGATTGCTCTATTTAAATTTCGAAACTAACAGAAGCATAAATAATTCACAAAAATAGCGTGAAATTCTGTCGTTTTCTTTCAAACCTTTCTTTAGCGCCACTTGTAAAATTTTACAAACACAATTTGCAGCTGAACAATCTCAAAACTCATACAGATCTCCCCTAAGATGATGTAAATAGAGTACAAATTGATCTAGCAACGTCAAGATCAAGTATAAATGTACCTTTGTCATCTGTATCCAGTTGGGAGGTCCAGTCGTCATAGCCTGTCATATCTTCCATTGTATTCCAACAATAGATATTGTTCACTGTATCGCAAATTACATTACTATAGAATAGAGAATAGAATAATTGACGTAAAAATGACCGATTGACATTTAAAATTCGCTAAGATTATAAAGGTATCGCCATTTTGTTGGAACATCGAACAAAACGAATTATAAATATTTTTGTGAACAAGAATACCGCTTTTGGAAAAGATATGCGAAATATTTATATTTGGGGTTGATTTTGAATTATTGTATATTTCAATAGATAGTTATTTAACATATAAT